TAGGATTTGTGAATCCGCTAGAGAGACTCAGACACGTTAGGAAAAGACTCAAGGATGATAATCTCAAGTGAGTAACAAAAATGTTTTAAATATCTTTAATCCTAAAATGACAAAAGCAGAAAGGTTTACAAGGCTTAATCTGTAATTTAATAATGAATTGTAGAAAGTGCGGTAGTATTTTTTTGGAACTGCCTGACAGAGGAATCGGTTTAATTGATGGGAAGATAAGGAAACTTAATAATAAAATGACCAACTGACATTTAATTTTGCAACTCAGGTTTTAAGCAGCAAAAGTTGAAAAGGGGTATCATTAATATTCCAAACCTCATATTTACCAAAAATACATTTCCTTTGTTTTTTTTAGCTATATAAGATGTGATTATTTGTGATAATTATGGTTTGACAGCTTTCCATTGTTTAAATTTAACATATTAATCTTAAATGTTTTTCTTATTTATGTTATGTTTAATTAAGATAGAATATTCAGCCCAGTGGTTCAAGTACATTTTTGGAAATTATGGTAGATTTGTAAAGCTGACTTGAGCCAAAATCAAGCTGATATTTCTATAATATTGTTAAATATTTCTATTGTATGGGTGACAGGACCTTCTCCTGTTATGCCCCCAAGCTCTGGAACTCTCTCCCCAAGGATATCAGAGAGTCACCTTCTCTAAACTCCTTAAAAAAAAATGCTTTTCTTAGTACCACCATCCACAGTCTCCTCTATATATTGTAATTGTGTTTTATCTTGTGTATTCCTCTTATTTATTGTTGTTGTCATCCTGCGAAGTGCTTTTAGAAGCCACCTTTAAAGGCGCTATATAAAATAAAGTTTATTATTATTATAAATTAAGTTCTATTTAGAAAATGCTACAGATACGTATATTTCAGAAAAATATTCTGAAAATGAAAAAACGTTTCATGCAGTTTTCAAGTTTAAAGTCATGGGTAATATTGGATTTTTTCCAAAAAACATAAAACACTGAAAGTAAGGGAATGTGAAATTGCCTTTTAAAGCTACTATGCGGCCAATACTCCTTTTCGCCTTTGAACAGTAGAACCATGTGTATTCAAAAACAAGCCAGACAGACTGCCTACGTACAGCTGTCAGAAGTGTCTCCTTTGGTTGCTTCAGATCTTCAGTCAGAATGCATTAAGCATTAATTACGTAACACCGATTTCATAACATGAACTGAATTATAAAAGGAAAGGAAGGTGTCAGTCATAAGAGTAGGGATGTCTTACATTCATTATTACAACACTGTTAATCCTAAGGTATGTTATTAAGGGCTGTACTGTACTGTCTTGTCTTTGTGGTAGTGGAATCCTACACGTACACCTTCTACAAGAACTAGACTCCTCCTGGCATCATATACCAGCACACTCTTTCTTCAGAAAAGCGTACTGTACAAAAGACTCTGTATTGCGTTACAGAATGTAAAATGCATAGGAATTCCCAGCTCACATTTCATGCTCCACAAAGTAACACCTGCAGCTGTCATACAGCACTGATGCTGACGGCATTCCCGCTGTGGGGCAGGGATGATGAGGAACAATAGAGACTCACAGAGAATCAGGGTCTCGGCCAACTGGACGGGAAATCCTAAACTGCAGATAACACAGGTAGTGCTCCAGCTTGAGTATCTGAAGTATTTTCTTCTGTCAGAGAGGCAGGTGAGACGTTCTCAGGTGTTAATTGCTTTGCTGGCTTGCCTGTTAATCAAAATGTCCTGTCACTTTGGAGAAAGCTTTGATTTGGGGGTGCGGGTGGGGGAAACAGAGGGGAGGCAAAGGCAAGTGAAATTGTTGTAATTTACTTGGCAAGCTAAATTAATCAATGTCTTCTTTTAAAGATTAGGCAGTCGCTAGCAAAAAAAAAGTCTGAGCTTTGACTTGATAGTTGAGCCAAGCTGATTAGTTTAAAAGGTAATTGGTGAATGCTGTTATTGTTGTTGCTCTGCTGTTTCTCACCTTTTCGTGTGTGGGATAAAGAAACACAGGTGGCCAGTAGGATGTCTGCTTTGTGTCTCATCCATTACCCCTGTCAGTTGTTTTGCCCAATGTTGTGTTGGGAGGTGGGGTAAGGGGCTGTTTTCTTACTGTGTTCCTGTACTCCAGGTTTAAATACTTTCCACAGTCTGCACCACGACTAGCAATAATGTGGTCACCTTGACACGTCACAGAATGCACCTCTCCCATACAGTACCAAGAGTGATTACTTAAAGGTTAGGCTTTCCTTTCTGTGACCAGCATGACAGAAGTTGCAATGCAAAGGATCTAAAGCCCACACAAGGCTTCTGTCTCTTCATGTGAGATTTGTCTCTGTGCTGATTCAGATTCAAGTGGGATCTTTTGCCCTCTCACATTGAGGTGCTTTTAGGAGTGAACTAGTGAACAGGATTGAAATACTCTACAGACAATTGCTTGGGTATGTCTTTTTTCTGAACATTACCAAAATGTCTTTGTGCTGTGTAACACTGATTATGTTAGTGCATGCAGAAAAATGTGAATCTCATAGAGCATTTGCTTTTGTTGATAATGGGTGTTAATATTTTTTGTGCTTTAATTTTGTAATTAATGTATTACTGTTTATTGAATATCTTGTGTGCAGTACAAATACTCACATAAGAGGTGTTTAAAAATATTAGAAAACTGTAACTAAGCATTAGATGTTATTAAGATGTGCATTTTATAGTGCTTATCAAAGAGAGCCCCTCTTTTGCAAAGCACAAAGGTAACGTGATTTGCGCAGTGTTAAAGGTTAACTACAGTTTAGGGTACATTTCACATTGCCTTTTCACTTCAGAAAGGAAATGCGGTCATAAAGAAAGTGTAAGAGAGGGACACATTGTTTTGCTGTCTTGTCATTTATGCAATAAAGCTGCAATAACTTGACCAATGATCCAGCACTGGTTCTCAAATGACTGGGCAACTATCCCTCCTGATCCCAGAATGCTTCTGGTGCACTGTGGCCTGGCATAGCCCTAACATTGTATGCAAACTATTACCATTAAATGACCAGACAGAAAAAGGCTTAATTGCCTGTTTCCTTTTCTGGTTAAGTGGCAGAGGAGCCTTGTGATCACAGAGGCTGGAGCCAGGAGAGGCGGATTCAGAGTTACCAGCAATGGTTAATTTGAGTCAGAGCACGACCCTGACCACTGGGTCACCTCTGCCGGGCACTAATCAGTCCAGCTGTAAAGTGACTTTAAACAGAATGGTACTGGGAAAAAAGTGGGTCCTTAGTTTGTTTTGTCCAGGGTCAACATAACTTTTATTTATTTAAAGCCTTCTGCTTCCTTTGGGTTGTGCTCCAATCTTGATTCTTTTGGAGTTTCCATGTGCTTTTGTTCACAAATTGACCCCTTTTCTAACTTAATTGTCTCAGAATCACTGGCATAATAAAATTTAAACATTTTCTGGACTGTTAAGTCCCATGCTTTGTTTAGTAAAACATTACATTCTCTCTCACTCTTTGAATACTTCCCCAGGTATTTCACATTCTTGAGTACATTTAGCACCATAAGTGGTGACATTCAAATGGTAATTTTAAAATATATTTTAAATTATTTTTAATATTTGTTTACAATGAGCTTTTATAGAGCTGATCATCTCATATTTTAAATGTGTGTGAAACAATTGCATTGTGTCTGTACAGTCTGCTGTAACTTGTAATTACTGTTACTGCAATGGGATTCCTGTCCCTTGACAATTGTGTAACTGAGTACACCTTGTTTCTCAGCTGCGTGTTCCTTCTAATCCCCTTTATCTAATGTTATGTAATCTGTCTTCATAAATTCCTTAATTGTATTTTAACTATGTTCTATGCCAAGGATATGAGGAGGTCAGGAGTATTTACTGGGCTTTAATCTAAGAGATTCTAAAGTTGACTGTTGGCGTCTGCATTAATTTAATGTTAAATATAAATGTAACATGATTGCTTGATAGAATTAATTTATTTTACAAAACCCATGTGGGATATTCTTTTTCACTCCAGTTTTATTTTACTTGGATCTGCAGATATTAAGCCAGACAGCAGTGTTGTTATGTAATGACCACAGTGATGTTAAAAGTTAAGTACAGTATGTCCAAACATAGATTTAAGTAATTAATCAAATGTTGTTTCTGTTATTGTCAGAAGAACTTGGGAAGAACATCTTTGAGTAGGATACTAGCAGAAACAGAAACATCCATCCATTTTCTAACCTCTTTATCCAGTTCAGGGTTGTGGGGAACAGGAGCTTATCCTGGAAAGCAATGGGCGCAAGGCAGGGTGCAACCTTTTAGTTATTATATGAGAATATTCACGTCTGAAATATCAAATCAGAAGAACAAAAATGAGATGGCAGCATTCAGCTTGTTGTGCTAATTTGGTTCTGTCTATAGTCTATTTGTACTGTGAAGAAGCGTTCCAAGTTTGAAATCCCCCACCTAGAAATTTACCTGCAGCTTAAAATAGCTAGTGAAATCTAATCTGCACATCTTGGGCAACAGGAAAAAGCTGCAGTTCCCACTAAACACCCACATGAACACAGGGACAGCACACAAAGGTCGTGCAGACAGGTACGCCAAGCTAGAATCAAACCCAGGACCCTGCAGCTGTGAGAAAGAGGTGCTGACCACCATGCGACCTGTAAACGAGAAAAAACAAGGAGTCTGGCATTGAAAACCTGACGAAATACGAGCCGACTTCTCTTCATTTCATTCACAGTTTCTTGCAAGTTCTCGAGTTTTACTCCATTACCCAAATCTATTCGTTGGGTGTTTGGTAGTCCTCATTTTTTTGTGGTGTATTTTCCTTATGGTTGCCCCCTTTCACTTAAAAACCCTTTACATGGCAAACTCTAAATGTTCCAGTGCTATGTTAGTTTACAAAATGTGTGCTTAACAAGAATCTCAAGAAAGAACACTATAAATCACTATTAATCTTTTGCCGTATCATTTTATTTATCAAAGAGCGATCTGAGCCACACAACTCACTTGTTCTGGTTTTGTTTCAGAGATCGAAGCGAAGGAGGCATGTGACTGGTTACGGGCAGCAGGATTTCCTCAATATGCTCAGCTTTATGAAGGTAATTCATATTTTTACTTAAATTCTACTAATATAGACAGAAATATCAAGTGTAACTCTTAAATAACTAAACACATTAGTGTAACTAAAAATACTGATAAGGGGATTTAAGTTTCCAGATTTATATGAAATGTATTTTTTTTGTTGTTAGCAATTTTGAGCTTGTGTTGCTTATTTAATGAGGAGGTAGAAAGTATGCTTCTGTAGCTGCACCACAGCAGAATAGCCTTAATGGTTTAGTTTCTTACGGCAGTTATTCACTGTAGCTCATTCATTGACAGTTGACCTGGATACTGTGAGATTGAATCTTATTTCAATTTGATTACGGAGAATCTGTTTGGCTCTTCTCTTCCTGATACAATGAAATTATCATTGGTGTACCATGAAAGGATTCATTTACACAGCTGTCTTCAAGCTCACTGCATGAAACATGGTCCTCCTTTCAACTCCTTCTAAAGTGGAGTGGTAAATTCTGTCTGGATATTTCCCAGCTTGAGTTACTATCCAAACATGGCCTGTGTAGTTAAAATAAGGGTCATGGGAAAAGCATCTTCTTTTTAAAAATATTTCATTCACACTTCAAGGTCTCCACTGAAGATTATGAAAGATGAGTTAATTTGTTTGCCTGGGTAATGTCAAATGCAGTACCTACTGTCATCCATAAACCTACTGTATTATCACCTCTATTACCTTTGTGTCTGAGAAATGTTTGATAACTGCAGTCACTGGAGCATAGATTTGTTTTTTCCTGCAGATAAACCTTTTCATACCATGGTTGAGACATTGCTGCAAAAGCATAGCTATCAATGTGCAAGGGATCATTCTGCACATTCCTCTGTGAGCAAGCAGATTCAAACTAAACCCCAGACTAAATCCATCTTCGACACACCCTGCCTCATGCAAACCCATTTACTGTTTATGATGGCAGGTTTCTGTTTGCTGTAAGCATCTTCCTTGTCATTAATGGAAACCTACTATCAAGTACTGGGTTTTGAAAACTGGAACTGACGGGCAGACATTCTTATTTATCTAGGCCTAATCCTGACAGGGAAATGAGCACCTTTAAAGAAATTCAAATTCTTTATGCTTGTATTAAAATTACTAGGATTTACATTCACACTTTCTGAAAATACCTTTTAATCTTTTAAAAACACCTTTTAACCTTTTAAAGTGCCAGCAGCTACAGTATGTCACCCTGCAACTCAAATCTGGGAATGCACTGAAGCTCAGCAGATGTGAGCCTGGCCAGTACCTGGATAGGAGACCTCCTGGTAAAGACTAAGGATCCTGCTGGAAGGGGTGTTACCTTTCCCACTGGGGGGACTAGTAGAGGTGCTCACACTGCAGTCTGTGTGGGTTCTAAAGCCCCAGTATAATGATGGGGACACTATACTGTAAAAAGGCGCCGTCCTTCGGATGAGACGTAAAACTGAGGTCATGACTCTTCGTGGTCATAAATCTTAGGGCGTTTCTCAAAAAGACCAGGGGTTTTAACCCTAGTGTCCTGGACAAATTTCCCCCTGGCTTTTACCAATCATGGCCTCGTAATAATCCCCATCAGTGAACAAGCTTCATCACTCTACTTTCCTCCCCACTGATAACTGATGTGTGGTTAGAGTACTGGCGCACTTTGGCTGACATTACCTTTAAAGCACTTTGAGTGGAGTTTCCAGAAAAGTACTACATAAGTGTTAAGAATTAATTATTGTTAATTAATCTTCTCAATTCGCCTTTAATAGTAGCAAAGGTATAGTAAAATTAGTCCAGCCCCCCATCTGGGTCATAACATTTGCTGTTTTAAAAGCTTTTCTTCATGTTTCCTTAGCTCCAGGCACTGGGTTTGTCTAGAAGAAAATGTTCATCATATCAAGTAAAGCCAAAAGTAATGTTAGTTTTAGGAGGCCCAGATCTAGCGTTACCTGTTACATAAGCACAGAGTAATGTGATATACAGTAATAGAACTACAATTCTGAAGTGGGTATTTTACGCAGTCTTGCCACTCCTCATTAAAATCCCGATGGACACAAGTTGCTATTCTAACAGTTCTTGGAAGTAACTAGGAAAATGGAGTGCTGGACTTTGGGAATATAAAATTCCCACAAAGAATTACTTTGAATTTGTGAGTTTCACAGTTTCTCTTAAGTGCCTGATTCTTTGGCTGAGCCCTGCTGGAAATCTCATTTGCAAGCATATTCATTGGGGAAGTGTATACTTGAGGTGTAAACAAAAGATTTCCCTTCTAATCCCCTAAAAAAAAACTTCAACATTTCACAGCACAAAACCTTGTCTCACACTTTGGTTTTTGGTATTGTGCTACTCCAGTGTGTACAGTTTGTCAGCATCACCTGGGGCTCTGTTAAAACTGGCGAAGCCAACAAAGTGAAACGGTCAAGGAAATAATATCTAATTAAGTTCTTTATTTTAGTGTACAAGTCCCCATGTATAAATAATTGTACGGTTTAAGTCTCATTCATTTGTCTTATTTGGTTTCTACAGTTAAAGACCTTTGTTCGGGTTTGTTAATCCTTCTGTGGGTCGGCACCAGTATACTAGAAGACCTTTGTAGACTGAATACTGGGGTTTTGACCCTGCACATGAAAGACAATCAGCCCCCTCCCTGAATGCTGAGAAGGTCAAATGTGTTAGTTGCCAGTCAGTTTTGCTTGTGAGTCGTAAAAAAAATCAAACACAGTTGTACCCATTTCTTCTTTCAGACTCTCAGTTTCCCATTGACATATCTGCTGTGAAGAAGGATCATGATTTTCTTGACAAAGATCTTGTCGAACCTCTTTGCCGGTATGTACCAATCTAGGGTTATAGGCTTCATTAGTTCATGTTGATGATGGGGCTTTAACTATAGCTTCTTTGAATTTTACGTGTGTTCTATTCAAAAGCCCTAGATTCATGACTGTTACTTGTTGTAAATGAATGTTAATTGCTGTAAAGTGATAATTGTTTTATGCTATGAAGTGTGACACTGGACTTAGTTTTTAGTTTTAAAGATTGACTATATCAGAACGGTATATCAGTTTTGTTTCTCTTAAATGCACTGATGTTCATAAAGATGAAAGTCTATAAATAAGCCTATAAATGATTTTCCATTAGAATAATAATTTAAGTGATTAGTAAAACAATTGATTCAAGGAACTAAGTATTTTCTGATAAAAGCATTTTATTGCATTAATATACCATATTTATTTAAACACTGTGGATCATTTCTTTAACATTATATGATATTGCCTTTGAGCCAGAATGTAAATTGATGAGCCATGTGACATTGCCTTCTCTTCTTCCCTATTGCAATATAGCCCCGAAGTGTGGCAAATAGCATATTTTAGAGTCCTTTTTAATACCACAACTGAGACTGAATATTATCTACAGAATTAACCTAACAAAAGTAATAAGAAAACCTCTAATTTAACGCAAAACATCAGATAATTCAACGTAATTTGATCATATTTGAGTGGATTGGTTTATTTGTAAAAGACTTTTCCACATGGTTTACTGTATGTGCTATTTCCTTATGTAGGCACTGCAGGGGTAAATCGTACCTTCTTATTTGATTTATTTTCCAAATGGATATGATCCCTTAGAGAAATGGGCTAAAAATGTTGCTTGCTTTTCCTTATTGTCCCATTTTTGCTGTTGTTTTGAAATGGTTTGAAGTGACAGTTAGACACTCAAAAGAATGGAGAACAGCACTTCACCTCCTGGAGGTTGTTATGGAGACAGTGATGGGGGTGGGAAGGGGTAAGGGGGAGGGGGTTCATGGATAACTTAAGATACTGTGGCTCGAAACAACTCTTAACCAACTGATCTACATTCAGAACTGGCTTGGTGGGAAACACTGCGGGCCAGTAAATTCTCCCATTCCAGCTTTGTCTGTACTCTGTGCGGGAACAGCCCCCCTCAAAGGGCTTCTTTCCATCAGAAGTGCAATGTGACTCCCCCCTTCACGCAAACACATGAGTGGCTGATACAGTAATGTCACGGTCACCCACTTTCACTTTGATGTTTGATGATTTACTTTGTATCGTTATCGGATACTCAAAGGTTTCTGTGCCTCGGGGGGTCATGCGCTTGTCAGTCATGGCTAACAGATGTCTGTGTGCTGAATGAGCACACACCCCCTACATGTCCACACTGTACCTGGGCCTTGAAGATTTGCAGCAGGTTCTGGCACGGGGTGGGGAGTACTTGAGGTTGCGTGAAGTAATTACAGTATTAGGGGCTTTTGCAGCCTTTGTTGTCAAAGAATAAATGGCCTATACTTCATTGAAAATAGCACAAAGAGTCACGAAAAAAGGTAATTATGACACCACAGACAAGCCAGCTTCTCTTTGTGAAGCATAACTTTGTTTTCTTATATATAATTCATTTGGAATGTCAGCCCCTCCCCCTAGTATGGCCCTTTCTCATGCTTTTCTTTTGAATTGTTTTGATAACTATTTAAAGTGCACGTTACTGCTAGTTCTAATTTCACATCTCTTGGCATAGATTTTAGTAACATTTGTGGGGGAAATAATTTGAAGAGCTTTAGGTCTTTAGCTGGAACCATCTTAAATCCAGTGAGGCAATCACAATTGCAGGATGGTAAAGATTTGTGCTTAACTTGGAGGCATTAAAAACGCAACAAATGCTAATGCTGCATGTTTAAAATCTCTTTACATGAAAGAGATTGCTTTGGCTTTTGTCGCTTATATTATTTTTACTTGGAAATGTGCTTGTTCTCTTGTTTTCTTATTTATTAATGGTAACAGTAGGGACTATCAAGGACCAGGGTTAGAATGATCACACTGTATGTTTGTTCGTACTCATCTGAAAACCTAAAGTGCAGCTGTATTAATGTGTTGTGTAAATAAATTCAAACTGCCCCCCGCACCTCCCATGCCTGAATGTAACTCAGACTGACTAGAATGTTAAGTGCTGAAGTGATGACATCAAAGGGAGGAGGGGATGATTAGCTCTCCTGTTTTTGTGGGCCTGTGGAAAAACACATTGTCACTCTGTGGAGCAACGGAGTCTGACGGTGGATACAGTTACTAAGGGACATGGCTACTGTACAGAATCATGTGCCACTATCTTGGGCTTCAGCAGTCAACAAGTCCCAGTGAGTTAGGTGGAAGTCACTATAGAGAAAACAGAATCCCTCTATTTAGGTTATTAGCTTAATTAGGTGTTTTAGTGAGGGGGGATCTGGTCTGTCTACAGTATATTAGACTAGGCTTCTGCTTACTCCTGGACACAGGTTGCCCTGAGTTTGAAATGCTCTTTAGTGCTTGGGAGATCAGGCTGATTCAGGGTGGACTGCTTTGGTCTGCTGAATTTCAATCAACTATGGTTTAATCCACGAGGAGATCATATGGCTGAGTTGGGTTCCGTTTCTCCCTTTCAGGAGGCTGAACACATTGAATAAGTGTGCCTCTATGAAACTTGACGTGAACCTTCCCAAGAAGAAAGTAAGTGCTATTTTTTTTCTGTTGATTGTAAAGACTTTAGCAGTATTTATTTTACTGTAGATGTACTTGACTTGCTTGTCAGGCATTGTGTAATTATTGTTCATTTGTTTTTGTGTAAGAACGATGTTACATTCCCTAAGGTTCAATATAATTGATTTTCACCAAAGTTAACATTTTGCAGAAAAAAAAAATATTTCAATTAAATGGATTCATAATTGCACCACAAACTCTTTCTAGTGTAAAGAGCATAGTGAAATTTAAAATCCATGTGCAGATTAAAATGAATTAAAACATTTCTGTAGTCTCACATTGATGATGTGAACTTTTTGTGACTTTTGTAAATCATTTGGTCAAAATTGTGGTTTCTTACCTTTTGGTTTATCAGTACAATTGGGATATAGTTATTTTTGCATACTAGTTTTCTCCAGAATCTCTTCCTAAACTATTCCGTTTCCAATAGCTGAATGCTACAACAATGAAATTGCCTAACAATTACTTCTTAATTCAATTAAGAGGTAATTTAAGAATTGTTAGTTGTAGCATCCAAACCTGGCATATTGTACATTGTATTGCAATGTATTCTGTTAAAATAATAATGCCTTTCAGGATTACTTAAACGAAGTGGAGTGGGTTTATTTTAAGCAGTCTTTGCCTGCTCTCAGCACAAGGCCTCTGTTTTGCAGGACTCAGCGTTGCCTGATGAGCCTGACCTGTCCTACTAATTTGTTTTCCTTCAGTAGACTTTATATACCACACTGTTGCACTTCTGAATAGATAATGACAGCATGACAAACATGACATGATAAAATGACAAATCGTGTATTGTATTGTGTATTGTGTAGTGTATAAAATTTGTTTGGACACTCTGAATAGTAAAAATGCATTGGAACAAATGAAAAGTTGCATAAAAGATATGGCCTTTTAGCCCATATAGCCAATTTGGTAGTTATTAGCTTCCACACCAACAATGTTCTCTTTAAAATGCATTTCCACATAGTTTCCACTTACAGTACATCACAATATTCATTGTCAAAGTTGCACAAATGGGGAAAGAATATATTTGTTTTAAACTTGGAATAACAATTTCTAATGAAACACCAAAAACATTCGGATAGTGTTGGCAATTTGTTCTTAGTCCTAAAGTTTTCTAAATTGATTGTGAATGATTGTGAATGCATATTTTAAATATTTTTATATTTCGTTGCAGGTTTTTTTTTCCCCCATTTAATTCAAAACAAATGAAATATGCTGTGGAGTAGTATAATGTGTATTTTCCTTTGGCTTAGGTTAAAAAAAAACACCAGGGAAATTTATAAAAATCCCTCATCAAGAGAGGTTTTTGAAAATTGATGAACCTTTATTGATTGAGAGGACAAGGGAGAATGTATATGGATCGTTGAGAAAAAAATCATGTAATGGAAGTATGTTTCTTATATATATATATTTGACTAATAATGTCTAAGACATGTATCAGTATACTGTGAGCGGTTCCAGTTCATTTTCTCTGCTTTCCCCCTAGAGCGAAGACTCCGATGAAGAAGACTTATTTGCAATCAGTGACAAATGGACTTTCGAGTGGAGCAGCAGGCGGTGGTCGCGGCTGGAGGACATTGACTCTTTCCTGGGCCGCGCGGACAGCCAGGCCCCAGCGGGAGGTGAGCCCCTGAAGAACACGACCAGCAGCGAGAGTGTGCTGACGGACCTGAGCGAGCCCGAGGTCTCGTCCCTGCACAGCGAGAGCAGCGGGGGCGGTGAGGGCCGGAGCCTGGCCGGCACCAGAGGCCTGGTCGCCGAGGAGCGGGAGGGCGCGAGGCGGAACTGCGCGGACGTCACCGCCATGCCCGACTCCACCTCCCCGGCTCTCCCGCAGGCCCCCAAAGACATCACCAACTACTCCTCGCTCTCCACCAAGAATGGGAAGCACAGCAGGACCCGCGCCAAGGACTTCCTGCGGCGGATGGAGACGCTGAGAACTAAAGGCACATCTGTGAAAAATAAGAAAGTCCTGGTGATTAGCGGCCCCGTGCTGCAGCAGGAGCCCGAGTCCCTAAAGACTATGCACTGCGTTGAAATTGTGAACGGGGACTTAGGTGGCCTGGAAAAACCCCGGGGCAGCTTCCCCTCCCAATCGAGCAGCGAGAGCAGTGGCCACTCGGAGACGAGCGGCAGCGCCGTCAGCACCCCCAGCCTGAAGGAGCGCAAGCCCCACCGGGCCGCCCACAAGCGCAGTGGCATGTACCTGGAGGACATGGACATCTTCGCGGGGGCCCAGGTGAAGAAGGTGGCCGAGCAGAACCGCAGGAACGAGTTCCGCTCTTACGAGAACCTGGTGGTGCACATCCCTAAGGACCACAAGCCCGGCACCTTCCCCAAAGCACTGTCCATTGAGAGCCTGTCCCCCACCGATGCTGGGGCCTCCGTCAACTGGCGTACAGGTAGCATCTGCCTGGATGCCCAGAGGCAGCCCCAGAGCTCTAAAGAGCCCAGGCCCATCACCCAGTGTTGCCCCCGTGGAAGCCGGATCAGCGTGTATGACAATGTGCCCGGCTCCCACCTGTACGCCAGCACAGGTGACCTGATGGACCTAGAGAAGGAGGACCTCTTCCCCCATCTGGACGACATCCTGCAGCACGTCAACGGGCTGCAGCAGATTGTGGACCACTGGTCCAAAAACATCCTGCCAGAGATGCAAGGCGACAACCTAGAGCGCGAGGGATCAGGGCTGCAGTCCTCCAGTCAGATCACCCTGGACTTTGAGGGCAATTCTGTTCTGGAGGGACAGACCACCCCGAGTGACGGAGATAAGGATGGCATGTCCCTCAATGAGTCTGACTCCACTGGGATGAGGGAGAGGAGGGATTCTGGTGTGGGAGCATCACTAACCAGGCCGAATCGGTGTGTATTCTACTCCTAGTTATCCTTTTAGTGAGCAAAAGGGTAACTTATATGAAATAAGTTTTATATTGTAGCAATGGCAATGCTTGCTTATGTTATGCAACATCTAAAACTAAATGATGGTATATTGTGCATTCACTAAGGAATAATTAATCATATTAATAGTATTTGAGTGCCTTGACTTTGGAAAGGAATTTAATTCTCTTTTTAGTAATATTTTAGAGGATGCTGTACAGTTTGCTTTTATTCTACATTGATAGGCAATAGAAAGATCAGCTGTAAGAGTAAGGATAGGCTTAATTGGGTTTTTAGTGAATTTAATCGTCAAAAAACACTGTTTAACTGTAGTTCACTGGAACCTGTAAATAGCTGTAGTCATGGTTTCAGCTCAGACAAAAGAGTCTGCAGATGCAGTTTTCCTCCTCAGGGTATTGTTATATAATTCAGTTATAATGTACATTTATCTTCTTCTCAGTTCTATAGTAATAATGAAGTTTGGCTATTCTGAAGATAATAGGAGAAAAACAGATTAACCTGAAAAAGGCTACCATGCCTTGCAGTAATATGTGTTTATAAAGTTCCATGATGTATAGCAAGTACAGTATATTGCTCTGTATTCATTAGGCATGTTGCAATACTCTTTTTGCACCTTTTTGTATGAAAAATGAATCCTTGCTAGTAAATTACGTAAAGAGGAAAAACAAAATAGTGTATGGATATAAACAAATATTGAAATTGCTTAGAAAAATAATTTTAAGTCATTCCTGTTTGAGGCAGGAGTAGCTATGGCTTTTAAATATTGCTCACATAGAATTTCATGGTGTCTGATAGAAGTAAGCTTATTTTAACAATAAAGAGAAAGCTAAGCATAATTTATATGTTTATTATATATACAATGAGAGGAGGCCTATCTTGCTTCAGAAGCCGGTCTTGCTTCCTTCCCAGTGATAGTGGCAACTATTTTATGAAAGATACTCGCTTTTGTCTCCCATCTTTAGGCTGCGGTGGCCCAGCTTCCAGATCTCCACTCGCCTGAGTCACTCCATGGCCTCTCTGCAGATCACCAACCAGTCCGCTGGCCAGCTCAGCCTGCTGCAGAAGTTCTCCCTCCTCCGCCTCACGGCCATCATGGAGAAGTACTCCATGTCAAACAAGCATGGCTGGACCTGGTGAGCACGGAACGGCAACACCTGCTCTTTCAAGATTAAATTTAAAAAAAAACGGTCTTACTGGGAATTGATTTACCTTAACCACAGCCCTACCATTTACAGGTGGTCATCAATGACCATGCCTGGACAGGGCCTATTACAGACCAAGTAGTTGGATCGGTACAGATTAAACACAGTCCAAGCTCTGTAATGGAATGTTAAAAGTTGTCACGCAGAAGAAAAACAAAATCACAATTATTTCTCAGGTTTATTCTAAACACAGAGGATGCAGGGCAAGACACTGATTTCCAGTAAAAGGCTTTAAAATTCATATTCTAATTTAATCTTCTGACTGCTTTCACTTCCTTGCAAGCTTTACTAAGTTCCTCCTCATAACAAATGTATTTGACCTTGTAAAATGGCACAGCCCCACTATCTTTGTTGGCCATCTCTGTTTTCCAATTTCAATAACGGTGCTGGGATATGCACAAAAGTGAAAACAGACATCTCGTAGACATCTCTAGGAAGTTGAACCAAGCTTTTCTCCTTGACTGAGCAGAAAATGTGCAATGAAGACATCACTGACATCAAAATTCCCAGTGGAGGAAGTGAGCTGTTCTGTGACCTGTGACAGCCGGTTATTTTTCTCTGTATTTCTCACATCCTGTTTGACAGAATCCCTTTTCTTCATCTGCCTGCATTTTCCTTTTTTAACTAGAACATTTTCTGAGATGCCAAAGCTATTATCTCTAAAGCAATTTACTGTAAAATTAGAACAGCCCTGACCCAGGACATCTTAGCCATCTAGTTTCTTAGCAAGGGAAACAAAATCTCATGAGGGATCAACGAGCTACGTCTGAGTGGCGAAGCACAAAACATGCAAGTTTAATTAGCAAACAGAGGCCAGTAACTGACAGAGCATCTAGTCCTGCAGTCACCCAGCCAGCTACACGGGGTTACTGTTGTTCAGCAAAAATAGAAGGATATCTCTGCCTTCTCCATCTTGTGCTGCTTCTTCATGACCTGTAAATGGAACAGTTTTGAATTCACCCAGCCATGAGACAACTGCAGAGTACATCCTATTCAATAGTCATTAGCATCTATTACCTGTTTTGAGACTTGTAAGATAATAGAGGCATGAAAATTCTGTGACCTGTAACTATAAAACATGGGGGAATGGTGTAGTTTTTTTTTTGTGGTTCATCATTAAAAAAAACCTAGAGGGAACAATAGTTTCAGACAAGTTTTGTGCCTGGTTACTTTCAGGTCTGTGCCAAAGTTTATGAAGAGGATGAAAGTTCCAGACTACAAGGACAAGAACGTCTTTGGCGTTCCTTTGATAGTTCACGTGCAGAGATCTGGGCAGCCCCTCCCACAGAGTGTCCAGCAGGCACTACGCTACTTGAGAAGCCAGTGTTTGGATCAGGTCAGTGCTTTTATCCTGGGTACTATGAATTGCGATGGCAGTCCCATATGTTATTCTAAGAGCATGTTTTGTGTATAGCACTGGTAAATGAGCTAAGAACGCACTTTTTTGTCTATTTAACTGTTGTATCTTGACTGCTCTATTACTTTATAAGCCCACCATTTCTTGATTTCATGTACATAACTTGTCAGTAATTGAATTTGCATTGCAAGTCATGGCTCAGTCATTGGAATTGTTTTTGTAGGTTTTCAGGAAAGTACGAACTCTGTGACTTGTGTATCAGGCAAGCCAGCTATTTGAGCAATCTAACCTTTGTACCCAAAGAGCAGTTTTGCACATAGTTTAGCTTTAAACATTTTTCCAGTATTTAAATTTCTCAAACATTGGGAATTTCAAACATTACCATTAATTTGTCTAAGAATAATTACAATTTTTTCACATCATTTTACTTTTGCACATTTTGTTGAAAACAAAATTTGATATTATTTCTGCTGAATGTTTCTCCTTTTGGCTTCTTTTAAGAATTATATTGACCCATTTTACAAAGTATGTTTTTAATCATTCACGACAGTAAAGATTCCATTCATTTTTGTAATCTTCCATAAATATTAATGTAACGCCTTTAAATTATAAATACTGTTCTGAATATGTGTTAATAATGCAACATATTTAATGGATAAGCATGTATTAAAAGACATTCAAAGAAATTCAAAATCAAATTGTTGAAGTGCACATTACTGGTCATCTCTAACTTTCAACAAACCTTTTAACTATCTAAAAACATTTACACATTGCTAGTAAACACACGTACAGTATGCAAATGTCATGTGTAACTCGCTCAAGTAAACATGATATAAACATCTTATACAGTATACAAATTGACTATACTTATATTTTTAAGTTTAAATGGTTTCAGTTTTATAGCCATGTCATTCCACATTTCCAAAACTGAAATCTGTGACTTTGTAACCTCTCCAAATATGCCGAGTATAGTGCTTGCCACTATAACTAAGTTGTTTCACAATTTTATTTTATCACTGAAGCATTATCAAATTGGTCATGGAAATATGAAGTAATAATTATCAAAGGAAAAACCTGCAAACCATCCAAATTAAAATATCTTTATTTTTCTGGATTATTTTCTGGAATGTGGCATTCATCAAAAAGAGATTATGATTGCACTTCAGCTGATGGTGTGGCTCATTTTCTACAATGATGAAACACTGGCTTGTAACACTGATTCCTGTTGTGTTATTATTACCCCATATCCGCTCTCTTGTAAGGGGATGAAAGCTAGCCTGCTGCTTTTTCCGTTTTCAAAAAGACTGGGGCTCCTTTTAAAGTCTATGAATGGAAACAAGATGTTTAGAAGACACTGGCCATACAGACAAGATTGAAAGCTGGGCAGTTAAGGGGGAACTGTAAAGCCATTTGTATACTTTGGGCTTAGACAGAATCTGCATTGATCAGTACATTTCAAACCACAATGAAAGTAAAATGTACACAGTAATGTCTAAAGCCTGCAATTTACATCACAAAACAGACTAAATTTACAGGTATGCACAGACTTGTGAATACATCTCTTTTAATCCAACAGAAATATTACTTTTGACTTTGACACGGTTTTGTCAACAAATACAACTTACTTGTTAACTCTGCATTCAGGTCATGTTAGAACATTACTGCAGTGAAATGTCTGCGTGCACAACCTGTACTTATTCACTCGTACATTGCATTAAATTAGCTGTTACAGTGACTAGTGAGCAGGAAGGGCCGATTTTACGTCACAATTTGTGCAAACTCTTGCTCTCACCCACGGCGACACCAGCAGTTTGTGACAACATCCAGCACTTTCACAAAGTTCGTGATTTGTGCTTAATTCTGAATTTGTAAAACTTTGCAATTCCATCAATTAAATTATTTTTTACCGAGATTTAATCACCAGTCCGAGAAATTGAGACTGTAGCTCCCCTTTAAACAAAAGTACTGCCAAATCTATAACATAATGGCATCACAGGGGGAAGAAAGAATGAGACTAAAATACAACAGATTTTGTATGATGTTGTTCATCTGCAGAATCCTAACGCTGAAAAATTAAATTCAGTAATATTTTAAGTGAATCTAAAGAGCCTCCTTTTTATGTTCAGTGTACCTCCGAGGACTGTACAGCAGTGAAAATGGTCACAGCAGTATAGGTACAGTCCTACTTATTCACTTGCAAGAAAAATCCTTTACTGTCATGAATCCAGCAGCAATTTAAATACTTAAAACATAGCTGTATTAACTAACCAAGCCTTAAATTCTAATTTAAATAATCTCACTCTCCTGGCATAATCATGCCCGACTCCTTGAAATGTTGTATTTACATAAACAAAGCTTCCATTCTCATGCTTCGCACAGAAGTGTTCATTCAATTCTGGTTAATGTTTTTCACCATATTATAAAAGAATCACTAATGAGTTGTTTTTTTGGTCATTGATCATAGTGCCTGCCTGATGCCTCAGCCTGCTTGTAGCTCTAACGTCTAACCCACTTCCTGGGTGGTTGAAAGTTACTGGGTGGCAGCTCCACAACCGAAACATGCTTCCTCTCTTTTCCTTTTCTTTCAGCATGGAATAAACCTTTACTTGTTCCCTTCTGGTTTTCTTTCAAGGTGGGATTATTCCGGAAGTCTGGAGTGAAGTCCCGGATACAGGCCCTGAGGCAGATGAATGAGAGCTCCCCAGACAACGTCAACTACGAGGACCAGTCAGCCTATGATGTGGCAGACATGGTGAAGCAGTTCTTCAGAGATCTCCCTGAACCCCTCCTCACCAGCAAACTGGGGGAGACATTTCTCCACATCTATCAATGTAAGACTCACCTTAACAACGTCACAGTGGTCCTTCCGTCACAGAGAGAGTGCCTCAATAATTCCCTTGTTAGGATTCTAAAATGCCTCCTGTGTTAAGCACATACCTGCACAGTTTTTCAAAGTTTAATTAGAATTCTCTCTTGACCATCTCTTTGATATATATTATTTTTCCACAGTGTAACCCAATTGCTTTGTTTTAATATAATCTATGGTACATTGTAACAGACAGCCCACGGCTTTGAAATGAGTGCCTGTTTTTGTTGAAGGAAGATCTATTTTAAGGGCAGATTAAGGGATTAACTATAACGGCCTCTTTTTTTATGTGCCTCTGGTGTGGTCTGAAGCCCATGTATTTGTATCTCTAAGGCTTTGCATGCTTGAGTGAGTCAAATGATTTTATCCATTCTAACATCTGTCCAGATGGTGACCAAAAATAACAAACTAGCTGTCTCCCTCAAAGGACACAATATCGCCATTCACCAAAGGTTTTAGAATGAAGGAGTGGTATGTCAGTTCCCTGCTAACTGTAGGTTTTATTATAACATATTCCTGAAATAATTTACCTCAGAAATATTGTCATTGCAACTACATTACCTTTGGGATAAGATTGATGACAATACTTTTATATATTAAGCGCATACATTTGAAGATTTATGGAATACTCAGATCTATTAAATTATTGTGAAACAATAAGGTGTGCAATACTATAGTTCTGGTGTACTATAATATACTAAAGCTCCAGTGTTTGCATGCTAAGCATGTTGAATTTCGCTTACTGGTTATTACAGTAATTTTTTTCTTCCCCTGAAGACGTTCCTAAAGACCAGCGACTTCAGGCTGTGCAGGCAGCCATCATGCTCATGTCGGACGAGAACAGGGAGGTGTTGCAGACACTGCTGTGTTTCCTTAGCGATGTGACCTCGGTGGAGGAGAACCAGATGACTCCCATGAACATCGCTGTGTGTCTGGCACCCTCATTGTTCCACCTCAACATTCTCAAGAAGGATAACCTGTCACCAAGGTATCTTTCCACTGTCTCAATGCAGTACTTGAGTAACTACAGTATATGTGCTGTACTGTATGGTCTTTTTCTTGGGGTTACCCCGTACTTAACAGTTCTTTACTAAATAGCACAGGGTTGTTTTCCATTAACATTATACGAAACAGAAAATGATCAAATCATACATATGGTTCAACACACAAAATGTATTTTATTTCTCGTCAAATTTCACATTAAGCATCTTCTAGCTTCCATATGGTTGTGGTAGAAATTTAAATAGTAATCTAATTTCTTAACTGAATGACTGAGCATAGACACCCCAAAGTTACAGTACACATTACTTAAAGAATACTTTTCTCAATGTATAGTAACTGCTCCTTTTATGTCTACTTGAGAATAAAAAAGTAATAAAGATTTAGCATATACAGAACTGGTGCCCTTGTTCCAGTACAGTTCCGTTTCATGTTTAAAGCTTTGGAAATGAAGGCATTTTGCTGTAAAGTACCAGTACATTTCAAGTGTGCACAATTTTATGAGAGCATGTTGCGTACAAATAACTCTCCTCTATAATTAAGCTACTAATTACTGCGTCTGTATTTTGTCAAATTTAAACCTACACACCTTGTTCTGTGTTCTGAAAGAGGACACATAGGGATGCTACACACATTCATGAGAGAGGTTTCCTTCCTGTTACCAATTCACCTCCAGGGCAGCGACATTTCTCAAGTCCTCATTTCCAGTTTCCCTTTCCCCTCCACAACAGAGCCATGCAAAAAAAATACGCAACAGGGAGGCCAGACCAGAAAGACCTTAATGAAAACCTGGCTGCAACTCAGGGCCTGGCTCACATGATCTTGGAGTGCAACCGGCTATTTGAGGTGAGCGACTGAAATTTTTTCCTGAAGGCAATGCACTATGATGAGGAAGGGCAAGACATCTCAAAAAGACAGTTTGTGAAAGATTGGCCAGGAAAAAGTTGAGTCAGAACCCCCCCTTCCTGCTTTTAAGAACGTAGCACTTTTTTCTCCCTGCTCCAGATCCCCCATGAAATGGTGACACAATCCCGCAACTCGTACGTGGAGGCAGATGTCCAAGCCCTGACGCTGGAGGAGCTGTGCAAGCAGACAGAGGAAGATGATGGCACCTACCAGACTCACGTGGAGAATCTGATTCAGTCCCTGCTGAAGGAGGCCAGGGAAAAGTCCAAATACTGGGTGTCCTGTTCCAGCACAGACAACACCGAGCTGTTCTATAAGAAGGTGGGTTTGCCACCTGGCCTCTGCTTTCACCTCCATTCCTTTATGTATTTAATGAGCAAAGCACGTAATTATTTAGATCCCTACGATGTTAAAGAGAGCAGCCTAACAACATATAAAATGGCACCATGCAAACACTAGAGGAGGCACAAACACTACAAAAGCGACGGGCTTCGTTTTTTTCCATAGTCCGTTGATTTGCTGGTGTTTGGTTTACTTGTTATTATTGTTACCGTTCACCGTTTGCTGGGGCTTTTGTTCGAGATGCCAGTTGTGATCGCATTATTAAAGGCTGTGCCACTGTCCCCAGGTGGGTGATGGCAACCCCCTACGGCGGTGGAAGGTGTCAGTGGAGGTGGAAGCGCCTCCTTCAGTGGTGCTGAACCGGGTGCTGCGAGAGCGCCACCTGTGGGATATTGACCTGCTGCAGTGGAAAGTGATGGAGACTCTGGACAAGCAGACAGAAATCTACCAGTATGTGTTGAACAGAATGCCACCACATCCAAGCAGAGACTTTGTAGTGCTGAGGTGAGTCTGGCATTCAAGTCGACACTCCGATTATGAACAGACCAGGATTTTCCTTTAAAACCAATGGTTTAGACTAGAATATAGAAAATAAGTGTGTAGAGCTTTTAAGATCAAATATGCAGTTATCTGAAAAAGTGTTTTGTAAAATTTAAACTCAACCACAATTCTAGGTATACATCTAAAGCAGGTATAGGTTTGAAAATGAATACTTGCAAAAATCTTGATATAATACCCCTAATTTGTACAGAATAAGCTGAAAGAGGGTCTTTTAAGAATTTGTCACTTATTTTTTGCCAAAGCGTTCAGGTGTGCATCTTGAAAAGCTCTGTAACTGTGCCTATTGCTCCTGTCCAGATCTTGGAGAACGGACTTGCCGAAGGGGACATGCGCACTGGTTTCGGTATCAGTGGACCATGAAGAAGCTCCACCAATGGGAGGGGTGAGAGCGATAGTGATGGACTCACAGTACTTACTGGAGCCTTGTGGTTCAGGAAAATCCAGACTCACACACATCTGCAGGATAGACCTCAAGTGAGTAAATATTTGGCCTACCATCTGGTACACATATTCATGTGGCTTTTGAGCAAAGTGTCTCTTTTTATAGCAGTGAACATTAAGCAATACAATCATTTAAAAACAGATGTGACAGTTTTCAACTACTTGCTATATGAAAACAGGAGGTATCGCATCACAAAGAACATTAAGGAATGTATTTGTTTTTTTAATCTACCACCTACATTAGTTCTTTGCTGGAAGCATGTACTGTAGCTGCCATTAACGAGGGAAATTCAGAATCAGTATGAAGTATCTACAGGAAAATATGAGCCAGAGGCAACAAGTAGCAACTAAGGGAGGGGGAATGCACTGAAAACTGAGAACAGGAAGCATTTTTTTACTTGAAGGTTTAAGGGAAGCAGTAATGAGGTACCCAGCTATGCTGTCAAAGCATATACTCTGGCTTATTTCAAGAAATGGATGGGATCCTCAGATCAATTAGCTACTAACAACCACATGAGCTAGACTGGCCAAAAGGTTTATAGCCTTTCTGGTGTTCTTATGTTCAAAATACTAATAAAGTAAAGATCTACTCTATACTTCCTCATCATTTACATTTTATAGTGGATAGCCCCAACATTAAAAATAAAAAGCATTTTATTATTATATGTTATTATTTTGCATACAGAGACAATACAAATTCCACTGATAAATTGTAACCATCAGCATTTGTTGCTTTTTTAATTCCTCTCATTATAGTATTAATTTGTAAAAGTAAAGTAGTTATTTTACTTATACGCAGTTTACATATAGTTATTAAAATAGGTATTCACAGCTGATGGTTTTGTCCAAAGTCTGAACACTACTCTGGCGCTGCTGAACACTTAGAACATAATATTAGGACAAATCACATAGTGAAGCACAGAGTCACAAGTCACGTAACTCTCTGTATCCAAAGGTGTCTCCCAGACTACATCTTTCTGCCATATCCAGATTCCATGTCTGTAAAAGTCATGGAACATGAGGAAAACAAACAATGTTGAGCAACAATATTGTACTAAATGAAAGGGTAAGGATATGTATTTTTGTGTTGTGAGAAGTAATCATGGGGCTGTATAGTTTAAGAGAGAATTAGGTCCAGGAATATAGCCTTAAGGGATTGTAGGAATTCTGTGTAGGCAGCGATGGAAAACAACTGATGGAGCCCATCTTCTCAAAACTCCTAGGAACTGATGTCTAGACTTTTCCTTCTTTCAGAGGAAGAATGCCAGAGTGGTACAACAAAGCTTTTGGACATCTGTGTGCTGCTGAGGCCGCCAGGATCCGGAACTCATTTCAGCCTCTGGCGACAGAAGGGCCAGAAACAAAAATCTGAACACCTGAACTCCAACTGGATGAGGATAGGAAGAGCCAGGTGGATTTTTTTTTTTTTAAGGGATCATCGTCTCAGAAAACAACTACAGCTGGGACTCCACTGATCGCAGTGGAAACAGAAAATAGTTTCAGCAAAGGTTGCTGGACGGTTTTATTTGAATTTGTCCTGTGAAGCACTCAGACTTAATGGACATTCTGGAAGTGAGACTCAGCTTCTCACTGGTGCTGGAATACTTTGTCCACTGGGAACACTAAACAGCCTGCCATTGTTCTGTCGGTACCATTCATATTATTATTAATTATTATTTTTATGTATTGTACAATGTCTAGGACATCAAATATTTAAAAGCTTCTGGGAAGCATGTGTATTTTATTTTAAATACAAATCTCTATATAAATATATGTATAAATAAAAGTATATATATGTACACTGTGTATATTTAAAGCTTATTTTGCAGATTTACCTGCATCTTTGCTTATTATATTGAATCTCTCTATCGCATTGATACCATGATATTACAGATTGTAAAAAAAACGTAAGCTGGTTTTACTAAGCTTATGCAGTACTGTTTGTGCCAAAATCAGTATAATTTAAATCAAGTTCTACCCTGGCGTTTTAAGGGGTTAAATATTGTGACTCAGGTTTGATGTCCTCATACCTGCTCTAATAGTACTGGACAATTCTAAAGAGGTGATAACAGGGTGCCCAAGAGTGCATTTTTGATGAAAATATTAAAATAATTTTCATGCATACTGCTGTGGACCAGTCTTTTTTTACAGCTGTATTTAGAATGAAAAAATTGCATTCATGCCTCTCCCTCAGTTATGATAACCCTTCTCATTTCTCTGCTGTAGCATACTTTATTTTCAGCCAAGACTTTACAACCAATCCCCAAAACACATTTGAATCATTTCAAGTTATAAGTCTTTAATCAGCAACATTTTAATGGTATTGCAGTCTTAGACAAAACACAAGGTTTCAAAAATCATTCCATCTTAACCTTTGAGAATTTCCAGTCTCAGAATAATCTGTTTCACAGTGAACAGAGATTTGGACCGTGAAAACGACGATTCATGTCAGCAAAATTACTAATGTGCTCCTTGTGACCAATATAATGTGGTCACAGAAGGCTATATAAATAAATCATAATGTAAAACATCACAGATGTCAAACATAATGTTATTATCCACCCACTCCTTTTTTTTTCCTCAATTCAAACCTAGTATAAGTATGAGAACATTTTCTTAAATACAGACACTTGCGATCATGTTGACCTATTATTGTCCTGAGAACAGACTGAGAGAGCGTGAGGTTGTATAGTCTGTATATATTGCTGTTAGCATTTATTTATTTGGTTGTGTTTAGTCAGAGAGCTGCTTTTTTGTGGTTGGTCCAGCTGGGATAAAGGGCAGTAGAGCTGCGGGTTGAGGGATTGGGGGATGGATAGAAACGGAGGATTGGAACCAGCTGTTAAGAGCAGAAAGGCTGTGGTGTATGAGAGCTGCTGAAGAGGTCACTTCCTCTCTCAGAGAAAGCCTGAGAATACCCTCCCGCCTTTCCCAGGAAAGTCTGCTGGGGACGGGAGGGGGAAAGGGAATTGCTTTACCTAAAGACTCGTTGGTTAAAAAATGGCAAAAATGTAAGAAGTGAGAGGGGTTTTTTTTCCCCTCCAGAAAGCCACATGGAAAATATTTCAGTCAAGAGAAAATTAAATGCAGTGAATTCACAGAAATCCTCTACATGGGTATTCCAACTGGAAAACAAAAGTAAAATACAGGGCTTTAAAGCAAAGGCAAGGATATTTCTTGTACCTAATACAATTAAGAACTAAAGAAAATGTGTTCAATGTCATTTTGTTATGTGGAGAATTTCTAGTTCTACTGAAATGACTTCTTAAATGGCCTGAGGTGAAGAAACATTGGCAAATGCTACCTGTTTTTATTTTAAACATGGGGTAAAGTGATGCGTTTCATCTTTGCCACTGCATAGGACAAATTTTTAATAGTGATGTACGGAAGTTATGACTTCATTCCCCTGTTCTATCATAATGCATCTCCAAATTTAATATGAAGTGCCCAACAGGGTTTTACAGTTTTAGAGCTGCTGTAAAATTAGTATAGAACCTAAGAGCAGAAGCATTGGAACTTTTATTTCACACTTAAAACCTTAACTTTTCCAGATAACTCTGCTGTACCACTAGATTTACTAGCCATACATCTTGCAGCCATATCACCCTGCAACTCACAACTGGCAGCCCACTGAAGCTCAGCAGGTGAGAGTCTAGTCAGTATCTGGATGAGAGACCTCCTGAGAAAAACCAAGGTTGCTGCTGGAAGAGGTGTTAGTTGGGCCAGCAGGGGGTGCTCACCCTGTGGTCTATGTGGGTCTTAATGCTCCAATATAGCGACAGGGACACTATACTGTAAAACGGCGCTGTCCTTTGGATGAGACGTAAAACCGAGGTCCTAACCCTGTGGTCATTAAAAATCCCAGGGCGTTTCACTAAAAGAGTAGGGGTGTTACCCTGGCATTCTGGCCAAATTTCCCGTTGGCCCTTACCAATCATGGCCTCCTATTAATCCCTACCTATGAATTGGCTTCATTACTCTGCTCTCCTCCCCACTGATAGCTGATGTGTGGCAAGTGTTCTGGCACACTATGACTGCTGTCGCATCATCCAGGTGGATGCTGCCCATTGGTGGTGATGGAGGGTAGTCCCCTTTACCTGTAAAGCGCTTTGAGTGGAGTGTCCAGAAAAGCACTATGCAAGTGTAACCAATTATTATAATTATTATTGAACACTTAAAATTCAGATAAATGACTTTTTGAAGTCTGTGTTGTCAATATTATACCTAAGCATTGTGATAAAGAGGGGACACTTCCCATGAGACCCCACCCTTCAAATGTGCCAACGATCTGTGGCTCCGCCCCCAGCTGGTACAGGTGAGACCAAGATGGAGGTGAGGCAATGTCATTAATGCCCAGAGGCTGGTCGTACTGCTTCCATCACCTTTTTTACCTTTAATATGAAGATGCAGTGTTTAATACAGATGTGAAAAAAAATTGATTAATTATTTGGTATTTTCCCTCCATTGTTTTTTTAACCATTTGTTTCTCTTATTTCTATTACTGATTATATTTCTTATTGTATACATGTGCATAACAGGCGACGTTAAATGGAGAGCTTTAGTTGAAATGCTTTTGTTTTCCCAAAGGATTACAAGGTATTCATGCTCTTGGCAGCATATTTTCATTTCATTTGGGTTTTTACTTTTTTTCTGACATAAAAAAACTAACAATAAAAGCGTCAATGATTAAAATGTTTTGCTTTATAAAGGCTCAATAGAATTTGTGCAATGGTTAGGCTTTCAAGTTAAACGAGAACACTTATTGGAACATATTTTGCTCTTTAAAATAGTTACCAATTGTTTCATCGCAATGAAACTGGATATGGATATGCAAATTGATAAATGCTAGAGTTGTAAGTAGGCGATTGTTTGAGTTAAAAACGGTTAATTTTATATGTAAATAACGTCAAAAAAATCGGAACTGTGCGTTTAAACGCCGCTCTGCGAGGTAACAAACTGTGTGGCCTGGCCTTGGATTATAATGTGTATTTTTGCACTTCATTATAAGGACGTTATTATATGGGAACTCGATCCCTTCCAAGGACGTTGTGAAAACTAAAATCCAAAGGCAAAATCGTTAGGAGAGGCTCTCATTTTACATTTCACTTTCAGGTTGATGGGATTCTTAGATTCTTGTTACGTAGGGGAGCTCAATGTCATTATTTAGATCTGCCGTAGATACACACTACTGGTATAATAAACCAAATATCAGGATATAGCTTAAGGCCATTCTCGAAATGGACACATTAGTAAAAGGAAAGACAGTATTGGGCTGTATTACGAGAAACATACACGGGCTAAATAGCATTTTCTCGCAATGTAATAGAATAACAGGTTGTTGACACAGAACCCCGTAAGTTGTTGGTATCGTATTATTTTTAGGGTGGTGGTGTACAGTATGCGTTTGCTTCTTTTGACTCCAGATAAAAGAAAATAGTTGTAACGGGTGGTAATACAGCTTCCTTTGCCTTGGCAGTTTAGAGAGCGAGTACTCCAGGTTGCTTTTCGCTGTGCCTTTTTACATTTGTAACTGCGCCACTTCAAATAAAATATGAAGTTAGATTCTTCAGTCGTTTTTTTGCTGCTTTTGTGTGTTGTGTGGGAGCAGGTACACACATGCATCACGTAATGAAAATGCATGGTAAAGTCACGGAATTGAAAGCCTTTTCTATCGCGTCTAGATTCTAGTCCTAATTTTAGTGAACCTACCTGATCAAAGTTTTATCACCCTTTGTGTTTTACTAATTTTAATTGTTAAATAAAAATTAAAAAGTGTACTTTTGTATTTTCGACTTGGGTTTAGATATCCCTCACTCTTCAGTACGTACTGCATTTTAGTGGTGAATAACATGGGTCCCATTTATACTTATTGCGTTCTTGCATTCTTGTGGATGAAAAGTTCTATACTGTAAATACAAAGTTTTCACTTTTTTCGAGTAGAGGCCTGTAATATGATTTTTTTGTGTTGATTTTTAAAATTATTTTTGTCTTCGTCTGTTACAAAGGAGAACACAATTTCATTTTGATTGCAAATCAAGATCTTTTAATTACACTGCATACGTGAATTTTACGCCTGCTTGACGACGATTTCCTTTTTTCCCCCACAGATCTAAATTAATGCAAACCGCTCCATTGAAACCATCCTACATCTTTGCGAAAGACAGATTAGTTCGTTCTAATAGGTAGTCACTGTTCCTATTAGAAGTTCTTGTAGCAATTATTTATTCTTTATCAAGTAAAGGTGTCCATATTTATTATGTCTTTGTAAGGACATGCATCTTAACGTTATTGGTGTTCCCTCCTTAAAATGAAGCTTTTGAAAATATCTCGTGTGTCTCCAACTCTATGTTTGTTGAATGCCTCTGTCATTTTTTTAAATGATAATCTTACTCTGGTTGCGCTTTACGATGTATTTCTAGGAAACGAGTCCGTTTTTAACTCTGTGCTCTAGACAAGAAACAAGAGGGATAGTGCACTGTTTCTCCAAAATGACATTTTCTGGCCCCCTAATAAATATGATGCCTGGCAGCCACACCCCCTATCTCTCCTGGTCTAGACCGTTCCCCTGCACCCAGCAGGCGGAGAGATCACTGTGAAAGCTCTATATGTCCATTAACCTTCCACTGACCGCTGTGATACAGTGGCATCCACGGAAGACATGCAGGGACCAGCCTGGTCTGGGCTTCAATTTGATTGGGATGTCCGAGTCACAGCCTCTTTCAGCATGTTATTTTCTTGATGTGGCACGGTCATTAACATTGATGCCTCACGGCACTTGAGCCAGGGGTTCAATTCAATCAGCATGGAGTTTGCATGTTTTCTCTGGGTGCTCTGGTTTCCTCCCACACTCCACACACAAAAAAACAATTGGCTTCTGGGGAAATCGACACTGGTGTGAGCGCGTGCGTCTGTGTGTGTGTGTGCCCTGCCATGGACTGGCGCCCCGCCCAGGGTGTACCCTGCCTTGCGAAGGTTGCTTGCCGGTATAGGCTTCAGCTTCCCCACCGGCCTGAATGGGAAGAAACGGTTAGAAAACGGATGAATTATCTTGGTGTTAAAGCGAAAAAAAATGCAATCGAGTGCCCCCTTGTGGTTAGTGATCCAAAAGATACACAGATCACTCGTGTGTTCCTTCGGTACCGTCAGAAATGCTGTACAAAGAGGAGTCGAAAGATTCTTCGGCTAACGGGCTTTCTTTAAATCTTCAAATTTGATTGTACGTCAATTCTGATACGACTGCATGCATACATACTTGAAGTGTATTCATACTAGTAAGTAATGTTAATTAAGTCAACAACATGGCAGTTAATGAATCGCCTGCACATTTCGCCATGGATAATTTACATGATTGAACAGGTTGCATGTCAAAAGGTTGTGAGGGTTTAAAAAGTATTTTTCAAGAATACGCAACCAACATCAAAGGAAAGGAGTAAGAAAAACCATGGACCCGAGGTAATCAAGTAGTAACGTTCACAGACTTGGACAAATATACATTAAAATACTGTACAGCACACGTTTTGCAGGAACAAGAACTGTCGTTTTGCGTTTTAAAAACTTACAAATTCCCCAAATCAGGTACTATCCATGGACGCTCTTAGCTGCATTTTTGTCATTGGCCCAGAGTACCAGTTTGTAAGAGTAAACGCAACACAACCTGTTTCTGCACTTATTAAAATGCAGGTGAGCAAAAGCACATATTTTTGCTTTAATGGACAACGTAAAACTTAACTACACACCTCTTGCAATCTATACGACTGACTAACATCTAGAACAGACTTTGTAAGACTTGTTTACAGTTTTAGACTGTACTTCCAATAAACACGGGAAAACGTCCCGTCGAGTACAAAACGGTCGACGCTGAAATAATCAAATTTACAGAAGGAAAATGGGCAACATCAAGCTCTTACAGTAGGTCAATCTAACTTATTTTAAAACCCCATGCTCTCTCATGCGAAAACGAACCAAATATCCGTAATTGTAAATAGGAAAGGTAAATGTATCTAAAACACTATGATACAAGCAATCCAAATGAGTTACACACTGACTCATATTCACGTAGTACTACCAGGACTGAAGGCTAGTCTCTAGACTTTATTTACGGGACACTGTTATATAAAATTAATGCAAAAAAAAAAACGACTATACATTACGACAAGTATAAGAATTTGCGTATAAGATGACCCCTCCAAACAAAATCAATTTACTCACCGCCACTCGTTCCTTGAAACTTCAGACTCAAGGTTAGCAATAGCACTACGGAAATTTTAATTGTATAATGTTAACGTTTAGCACCATAACACATTGTTTTGCATTTAATTAACTACACACTGAAACCTCTTCACGACTGCACCTGTGAAATGACGATTCCCGTGAAGATGTTAATTACATTCTTATTATTTTATTGCACGTGTAGTTAATTAAACGAACATCTGGGAAACTCAACTGGAGAGGTGGGGTCTCTCTAGAAAGAAAGCTAATCATCTCTTGAACACTGCATGCGCGCATGTTTTTGAAATCGGCACACTCTAAATGACACCCTATATCCATACAACATTTATGTTGCTTAAGATGCCTCATGAGTGAACGCCGTCAGTCTTTTAAGACCTTACATTTCTCTGCCTAATTAGCTAGTCGAATATGCTAGAGAGACCTTCAAACAATCGCAATTAAAACTGAGAAGAACCCAGGAAGCCAGAGAGGACAACT